GACATTTGTGCTGCCCATTACATTACAACCAGCAGGATAGCGCCCCTCATACTTTAGCCTCTTCATCACAGTTCCTGAAAGTAAAGGTCAAGGTGCTCTAGGATTGGCCAGCCCAGTCACCAATTACCTATGCCTTTCATATTAGCCATTTCTGATACCAAGTGATCAACTAGAAGTCCAGTTATAGGTGACTAGATTTTTGTCAGGTACTGTACATGCAATATGATCATACCTATTTTCATTTTCTTTTGCATCTCAATTCTCCATTCAGCTATGTAAAAAAGGCAACATGGCAAACATTCTGCCAAGTTTGTGAAGAGAATAATTTATAAATCTGTCGTCCAAAGCATTTCATAACAGAATGAAAACAGAGTTTTTAAATTTTTTTATCACACTTTATTTTAAGGTATTATTCCTGCTATTACAAATCATTAACTGCAATTTTAGTTCAATGAACTCCTAGTTTGCTGCTTATGAACAGTTAGGTAGTAGTTTTAGATTAGGGTTGTGCAATAAGATCATGTAGAATATGTACTTCAATATGTACAAATATAAATATATATATATATATATATATATATATATATATACTGTAGGCATGTAATGATCCACTTATTCATTGAATTGGTACTTTTTTCCTTTTTCTTTAATTTTAAAATGTTTTGGATACATAAATAATTATGAAGTTCTTCATGGACACTTATTGATTTTTTTTTATTTCATGAAACATAATACACAATATTAGTTGCATATATTCTTCTACATTTTCTATAATCCGCGGCAGGTTTGATGAAATGCTAATTGTATGCCCTGTGTGCATTGGTGTGCGTGTGTACCTGATATTCCCTAAATATTCACACCATCATTTTTAACCTCATGGAGAAAACAGCTTCTGCATCTTGCAGAATGAAAATGTTAAAATGCTGAGGGTTTTTGTTGAGGCTTGTTTTACGGATGAATTATAAAGTTGGTACTGTATAATATGTTTATAGGTAGTTCCTATAATAATGTGTGTATCAGACCTGCATGATATTGGAAAAATATCGATGTTTTGGTTTTCTGCAATAAATAGTGCGATTCTAATACAGGTTTATCAGATGCGTTAAATAACTTTTGGAAAGTGTTCATTAATTCAGATTGATTGCAACATGGGATTGAATCATGCATAAAAATAATGAACAAATTAAAAGTATTGCTGACTTATAAATTTGTCAAACAATAGGTACAGAAAAAGGAAAAGATCAAATGCAAAAGAACACTGCATTGTCTTCATTGTGTAGATATAATAAAATAAAACGTATCTTTATTAAAGGTACAAATGGTAGCATTTCTTGTGCCTGAATGTTTGAAACTCCTTCGAAATATTCATATAGTCACAAGCTTTAACAACACAGGCAGACTTCCACTTAAAAAACAACAAGAAAACAAACAAACTGGCTTCTGGTCAACTATAATGCCAACTCAAGATTGAATGTGACTATTGCAAATACATTGCGATATCAATGCTGAAAATATATATTGTGCAGCTATAGTGTGTATGGTCTGCTTGCTTTCTGACATCTAAACTCAAGAGATCACCTTATGTGGTGACTGTATCTTCTATATGCAAACGAGATGCCCTCTTTGCATATGCAATGAGAAACCCATTAAAGAACCCTGAAGCATTGTATTCCAGTTTATTGTTAGAGAGCGTCTTTGTGTTTGTGGTATGGTTTATCTGCTTTTATCTCGCACACTGCTACAGTCTACTGTGCTTGACCTCTGACCCCACGCTTTTATTCCAACACCCAGCTGACCACTGGAGGAGAGAAGAGCCTTACACAGATCTTTCATCTTTAAAAGCTGGAGATAAGAATTAGGGTCAGGACAAAATACAACAGCGCCTTTTGAAAAATGACTCCAGTAGTTTCCTCATGAGGAAGAACCTTGGTGTTGTGCAAGAAATACAAAAATCCAACCTATATTCTATAGACCTTTTTCATAGAACGCAAAATTACCCATTAAGCTTTGCATGTATGCGTAAGCAGGATGCTTCGACTTCCGGTCGGCAGCTTGATGCATGTAAAGTGTGACATTTGGACAGCTTTGAAATGGTAGTTTAAGGCCCATTCCCAATTCTCTTTTCGTATATATTATCTCCAGGAAGTCATTGAAGGTAACAATATCATGTTATCATTATGATATAATGTGGTAATAAGCTCATAACTGTACTGTGTATTTACACCGTGGCCATATTCATTTATGTAAATACACGAAAACAACATTAACATTATACTAGCCACTGTAAAAAGCGCATTCCCAGCCATTAGACTTTCTGACAGGGTATTCGAGTGTCAGATATGAAGTATGATGTGGGACTACTGGGTGTTGTTGTTATTATGGATTATAGATAGCGAAATTTAGCAGGTTTTTAATGTTTTTTTTTTTTTTTTTATAAAGCATGACGGTAAAACACGGACAACTTGTGGATATATTAAAACGTGTTTGTTTGTTGTAAAAATTCATAATAATATGTAATGACAAAAAAAACAAACTTGTGCATCTCCTGACTCACGTGTGCTGTCATGCTGCCATGGTAGCTGGTGTATTCTGGGAAATTTTCTTACCTCTTGGTTTTGAGTGTGGTCCTGAAAAATCTCTGCTTCAAGGGCCATCTAGCCCTTCCCGTTAACCCTAGGCCTTCAAGCTAAAGAGAACTGGGACACCCTACCCCTTCACGTGAATGCACAAAACGAGGGGTAGGGGCAAGTGGAAGGGCTAAGGGGTAGAATTGGCATTGGGCTTTAATCTATTTTACTTGCTTTTAATGTCTTTGCACTAATACTGCTGTCGATCAGCTCCACCTCATGGACTGATTATTTAAAAAATGCGATCTAATGGGAATGAAAAACAACCAATGCGGGTCATTTTACCCTCATATTATGCATTTTAAATGGAGCATCGTCAATACTGAAGTCAACTTTTTCTTTCTTTCTTTTTTTTTCAAATATATAAACAAGGCAAACTGGGTTTAATTAAAATGTTTGACACACACAAACACATACTAACACGTGGATTGAAAAAGTGTCACAAAGTGAAAATAAAGTGACATTTTGAAATGACAGAAAAACACAGACCCTGGTAAATACTACACAGTACAAACTAGCATAACATAAACATAAACGCAGGGTTCATACAGTGATGGAAAATCTGGAAAAGTGATGGAATTTTGACTTGGCATTTTCCAGGCCTGGAAAAGTTTTGGAAAAACAGAAAAACCCACAAGGTTTTGGAAAAGTCATGGAAAGCAGATATCTGTACACTTGAATATAGGTGAATATAGTTGTCTTGACCTTTATTCTGTCCTTGGCCAATCACATACTCTGACATTATAAGTGCAGTGCAGCATTATACAAATCAATTTTACATAGACATAAAAATAAATTGGGCGTCACGGTGGCGCAGTGGGTAGCAAGAAGGTCACTGTTTTGAGTCTCAGCTGGGTCAGTTGGCATTTCTGGCTCCCGATTTGCTGATTACAGTATAACAGCTAGCAGGTCAGGTCAGGTCTTACACTGCATTTCAGCATCTTATCTGACAGCAGTCACTGAATTAGGAGAGCATTTTTCTCTCGCGCTTAAACGGACTCTGACGGAAGCATAACCTCTTTAAAACAAACCTTTCAAAATCAACGTTGTGCATCATAAAAACACTCCGTAAGCCACTTAAAATGATATTGACAGCCACTTCCAGATTGATAATTGCTGTTGAGAAATGCTGTAAACGTTTACTAGATGTTTTTCAAGATACTAGTATTCAGCTTAAAGTGACATTTTATGGCTTAACTAGGTTAATTAGGCAAGTTAGTGTAATTAGCAAGGCATTATATAACGATTGGTTTGTTCTATAGACTATTGAAAATATATATTGCCTAATGGGGATAATAATATTTACCTTAAAATAGTAAAAAATAAAATAATTAAAACTGCTTTCATTCTAGCCGGAAAAAAATATGATAGAAAATACTGTGAAAAATTCCTTGCTCTGTTAAACATCATTTGGAAAATATTTGGAAAAGATATTCACAGCAAATAATTTTGACTTCATTTGATATATGTGATGTTTCCTTGTGAAATGATGAGTAGTACCTCCAACATCAGATGGTTTAGATACTGGATAGCAGTAAAAAATCCTCACAGTCGTGTAGGTGTGTGTGTGTACAGTATGCAGAAAGCCCGTGACTCATTAAAGGTCTGCCTGATCTCTGCTAGACTCCACAAAAACACAAACAGCAGCCATTAGCAGCATCAGAGCAGAGTTTATTGCGTCTGCTTCAATCAGCCGTCAGCTTTTCTGCGAGTCTGCTCTCGTGAATCCGTCAGAATGGTGTTTGTGCGCCGTTGAAAGAGCATCCTGTCTTTATAAACAAACAGTGAGTAAAGTGTTTATCTTCCTCTCTGGCTTGTTTTCCTTTGTGTTTTCACCGTTGGCCTACTCTTAACACCCAGGAATAGAAAATCATTCTCCCTCGTGAGCCGCAGCGAAAAGCGCTTCTCTTTTTCTCATTATAATAAAAGCACAGACAGATCCTTGTTAAGCCCGGATGAGCCGAACGGGTTAAACTTCTTATTTCATAAATATGAAAAAAAGAAGACAATCCCACGGTCGGAGACAGATTCAGGGATCTCCAGCCCCGCATTTACATTAAAACGGGAGCTTGTTATACGGTGAAATTTCAATGAAGGCAGCGCAGAACGCATTTAATGAAATTCAGATGTGGCTCCATGAATCTCATTAACAGTCTTTGTGCTTTTCTGCTGTCCGATTTCCCCCTCGTCTGCCCAGTCGTGAGAGAGATTTCATCAGCGGCCGGCTTTCAAAAAAGACAATGTCCGTTCAGATCTGAACTCCCCACGCTCTCTCTCTCTCTGACGGAGGCCTGAAAAACTGTCGGAGTTTTGAGTTCAAAAGGTGCACCACTGACTCTTCCTCTGTTTCTCTTTCTCTCTGTGTTTCCGCAGGCTTCGGCTTCGTAACGTTCGAGAATGAAGACATTGTAGAGAAAGTCTGTGAAATTCATTTTCACGAAATCAATAATAAAATGGTAAGTGCTCTGCCTGTTTTCAATTTCTGAAGGTGATTGCTGGATTAATATTTTATTTCCCATTTAGCAGAGTCTCTACAGCGTGCGCTCGCCAGCACTGCGAGTGTGTGTGTAAACAGTGTAAAGTGTTGGGCAGTGGCTAGAAAGCGTGAAATTGTGTGTGTGCACGTGTGTGTGAAAACATTTTTATCAGTCAACAAGAGTCAGAAAGTTTCCCCCTCTCGCCTTCAGCTATAAATGTCTGCTTGATGAGTGACGGGGCTAAACAGAGAGTGGCTACCTGGCACACCTCCACTTCATTAAAGCAGGATTATCACCCCTCTAGTATTGGGCAGAACCAGCAGATGGGCCACCAACGTCACTTCTTTTTAAACTTTTAAAGCAATGTTTCTCCTTTAAATCAGACTCAAAAAGAGATTGTTGATGTTGAGTTTGTTTGCAATATCTGATTGGGAGTTAAGAAAACTACACAATATGTTTATGGCAAACCTGTGAAACCTCCAGTTTTTCTTTTGTATTTTACCTTTCTATCCCATTATCATCCCATTTAAGAATTTTAAAGTTTTTAATCTTTCTATAAAAAAAACACCCAATTGCAAGAGCTGTTCAAGAAAATAATGCTTTTAGCTTTATTTTGGCGTTGAAATCAATATTAAAATGGCCGCAGTCACTTCCTTTTCATTAAAGCAGTGCCCTCTTTGTGGATATGTGGATCGTCGCCCTTTCTACACTCTTAGAAATAAAGGTACCAGAGCTGTCACTGGGGTGGAACATTTTCAAAAAATACACATCTGTACCGAGAGAGTCCCCATAGATACCTAAAGGGTTTATATTAGTACCTAAAAAGTTCCTCTTATAATTTGTAGATACAAATATATGCTTTTGAGGCACCAATATAGACACTTTTAAGTACAAATGTGTACCTTTTGAAAAGGTACCACCCCAGTGACAGCTCTCGTCCCTTTATTTCAAGAGTTCCCACTTAGATATGCTTAGCGTTAATAGCAGGTTTGGCATGCTCTCGGAGATACTTGAGCCCAAGGCTAACTGGTCAATAAGCATATAAGGGGAGCCGAGATCAGCTAGGTCTCGAGAGTCCCCCCCTTAGAAAAGGGAGGAAACGGAGGAGATGGGGCGGAAGAGGGGATTCTTTCAAAACAAAGATAGAGCAGTAGGGAAAAAACGATCCATTTATTGTAAGCTTGGATCCCTCTGATTGGATTATTTCTGATTAAAGATAAGCAGCCAGTCATGCTCAATCATATCACGTGCTCCTCTCAAAATTAGTTTATGAAACTTCACTTCTGAGAGTGTATGCAACCTCTGAATCAGTCAATTTATGCATCAGTGCTGAAAGACAGACGCACTCTGTAGTAATAAAGACACTGTTTCCAGGTCAGCTTCTGTACATGCGATTTGAAGAGGAGTGAAAGAAGACACTTAACCAACAAATATACTTGCTAAGTAAACATGTCAATCTTGGTGTGTATTATTTCTCGTATTTTTACATCCCAATGTCGACAGGTAGGGTTTAGGGGGTTTTCTTGATAAGTTAAAGAGTATTGTGTTGTTTGTGCTGGTTTTAGCCATAGACTGTGTAAATATATGGACGTATTGTCGGTGACGTCTCCTTTATGTTTCTGAAGAGCACAAATGAGGCCATCAGGATCAAATGTTTCCTGATATCGACTCTCTCTGTTATCTTTGAGAGGGAGAACAAGAGTGGAACTACTTTTGTTAAGAACTTTTGGGATTGCAGTGCTTCCCACACATAGACTTTTACAGGTATATTAACGGCCACCCAAGTATATTTAGTGACACTGTTTTTGTATTATTATCATCCTTTTACACTTTTTTTTGTTGGTCCACTAAAACCAAACATCCACGATCGATTACATAGTGGAATTTCTTTCATTTACCCATTTTGTACTGTGCGATAACTGTCAACACTCCCAAAGACAGTTTCACGTGCCCTGCAGGCCCACTGAGATGTGCCTTTTTACATCCGGCTGGGTATTCTAAATCTATTAAAATGTCCAGCTTTTGCTTTCAAAAGCTGTTTAAATATATGCACATAGTCGCGAGAGAGACATTAAAAAATATATTTTTTAATCTATACGACTTCAAAACCTTTACCAAATACTCTGAAAATACTAGGGGGGGAAATCTAAAGATTTGCAAGATATTTGTAAATAGCATTAGAAATGGTTAATCAACTGCAAATAATCAATGAACCGCCAACTTATCCAGCAAGTTTTTACGCAGCGGATGCCCTTCCAGCCGCAACCCATCTCTGGGAAATAATCAACTAATTTGCCTTATTTAAATAATCTATTTTTAATAATCTATTAAAAAATTTATTTGAGATATTGTCTGGGCTGCACGGTGGAGCAGTGGGTAGCACGATCGCCTCGCAGCAAGGTCACTGATTCGAGCCTCGGCTGGGTTAGTTCTGTTCAGCTCTCTGTGATCAGCTGCACCTCATGATTGAGTTTTACAAGTTTAAAATGTTTTTAAAACTTTCCATGTTTGTAATACAGTAAAACCACTACGTAATTCCACAGCTGCCTAGTTTCAGTACAATTATTTAAGAAGATGCCTCAATCCCAGTTTGTGGACTTATCAAGTTTATTTTGTTCAATAACATAGCGGAAGTCCATACAGCAGTGGATATTAACGTGTATCCTGTCACAATTGCCATGCAATAACAGTGCAAAGCTAAAAGTGTGAGCGCGTGTGTGCATGTGCAAACTTTATAACGACATTGTGTGTGACTCATTGTTGCAGAAAGGCTTGAATTAACTCCACAACAATTATATCAAATAACCATTGGAAAAGTTCTTACTGTAGTAAGGGAGATCTGCTTCATTCTTGTCTGTCAGTGTGCGGTTTACCTACGTGAAGGCTACACGCATCAGAGCAATACAGACAAATCTCTATGGCTCTGACTTTAAAGACACATTCTGGAGAGACAAAAGACTTGTGTTAAATCTTGGAAAAAGAGGTAAAATAGGGACCCTTTAACTACTTTGAAATGAATATCCTGTATATAATAATATTCCTATATCTACATGTATTGCATACTCACTTAATGTGTGAAGGTTTGCAGTGTTCAAATAGTTTCAACTATTTTCTTTAAAATGTTAAATATCAAGAATTTTCATATTCTCTGTCCAGAGTTATACATTTACCCACCTTAAATGTCACATAAAATTGACATTTAAGACGGTGCCGTGTGTCTGCATGGACACGTTCAGTCTGGAGCTGCAGCACTGCAGATAGCCCTGTTTGTGTGAAGCTAGAAAAAACTGTTTAATCTAATATTTTATTCAAATAATTGATTACAATTGGTTGTATTAAACATAATTGTTCAGTTCAGATGTTTATGGTCGGCAGTATTATTATTATTTAGCAATAGCAAATTCAAATGATCAAAATAAGGAAAACTTGAACAATAAATTATTAGTATGATTTCTGGAGGATCACTGAAGACGATGCTGATCTACTTCAGCCTGGCTAATTATAATATCAAATATACAATATAAAATTATTGTGTGTAGAATTTTGAGGAAATAAATTAATTTAATCCATTTTGGAGTAAGGCTGGAACATAAAAAATGTGGAAAAGTGAAGCGCTATCAATACTTTTCAGATGCACTGTATATTTCGAAAGATTTGTAACTGTTTGTAACGATAGATGTCTGACTGGTATATTTATAGGCAGATATAAAAGCAACACAAAAGCACTGATGCTAAGGATCAACCCCTGTCGGGTTCTCACCTGTGACTGGCAGAAGTCATGTGATCTTTCTGTCTTGCACTGATACCTCTCCTTGCACACCCAGAGCTCTTGGGACAGCAGTATGATGTGCAGAGGATCAAACCCCTGAAGATCTTCCTCTGTCACAGGCAGGTTGTTCTTGAGCTCAGGGACAGATGCGTGCCATCGATTTTACCTCTGATAGTCCATCATGTGTTTCTACTGTTCAGAGGGCAGCGCGACCTCTCATCTCTGTTCTGATTGTCTCTCCTGCTGGCTGTTCACTGTGACTGTAAAAGCACTGTTGATATAAGGTAAACCCGTGTAATGCTGGAACAGGCTGTTTGTTTTTGATGAGATCTGATTGGTTTCTTGCATCACACTTTTGCTGGCCAGTGGAGCTACACATGAGGTTGAGGCAGTTTCACACTTGGTTTGATATCTATTTCTCTATTTTTTTATTATTTTTGTCTAAACCAAAATACATTTGCAAAAGGCTTTAAAAATGGGAATATCGACAGGCATTGACTTTTTTTGTTAAGGGATTGCTCAGATACACTGGTTGAGATGGCACAAAATGAGAAAACCCTTTGTTTTTAAAGCAGCAAGTTTACTTAAAAGGGACTTAAAGTTTTATGCAAAAATACTTTTATAAGGGGTTTAAACACAGTCTGTCAACACTTTGTGAATATAGACAGCTTCTAATGGTCAGAGACTTGTTTTAAATTACGTATAATATGTTATAATAGGGCGAAACAGTGGCGCAGTAGGTAGTGCTGTCGACTCACAGCAAGAAGGTCGCCGATTCGAGCCTCGGCTCAGTTGGCGTTTTTTTGTGGAGTTTGCATGTTCTCCCTGCATTCACGTAGGTTTCCTCCAGGTGCTCTGGTTTCCCCCACAGTCCAAAGACATGCAGTAAAGGTGAATTGAGTTGGCTAAATTATCCGTAGTGTACGAGTGTGTGTGTGTGTGTGTGTGTGTGTGTGTGTGTGTGTGTGTGTGTGTGTGTGTGTGTGTGTGTGTGTGTGTAGATGCTACAGTATAGAAATGAATCTGCTCACAGATGTTTACAGTGATGATCAAAATGCTCCTTTTATGCCTTTTACACTTCAGCTTCCTTTAATGCGTGATGCTGCTTTTTGAACATAAAGCTTTTGAAGATGAGCACCTCTCATTGTCCCAGATTTATGGTTTGAAGTTTGGGCATATGATGGAGTCCTGGCTAAAACTGTTTGAGAGA